GTGATGCACTGGGGGAGGAACAACCGGCACCATACCTACAGGTTGGGGAATTCCCTTCTCATCAGTACAGAGGCAGAAAAGGATCTTGGAGTCATCATTGATTCCAAGATGAACATGGGCCGGCAGTGTGGGGATGCAGTCAGGAAGGCCAGCCACACCTTGTCATGCATCCACAGATCCATCTTGATCAGGTCCAAGGAGGTGATACTCCCCCTCTATGTGGCACTGGTCAGGCCGTAGCTGGACTACTGCACCCAGTTCTGGGCACCACACTTCAAGAGGGATGTGGACAACATGGAGAGGGTCATGGAGGGCCACTCGCATGATCGGGGGCAGCAGGGCAGGCCCTATGAGGAGAGGCTACAGGACCTGAATGTGTTCAGTCTCTACAAGAGAAGGCTGACAGGGGATCTAGTGGCCTGTTACAAACTAGTCAGAGGGGACCAGCAGGCACTGGGGAAGTCCCTGTTCCCCCGTGCACTACCAGGAATAACGGTCACAAGCTGGCAGAGGGTAGATTTAGGCTAGATATCAGGAGGCACTACTTCATGGTCAGGGCGGCTAGGATCCGGAAACAACTTCCAAGAGAAGTGGTGCTGGCTCCTACCCTGGGGGTCTTTAAGAGGAGGCTAGATGTACACCTTGCTGGGGTCGTTTGACCCCAGTACTCTTTCCTGCCATGGCAGGGGGTCAGACTCAATGATCTGCTCAGGTCCCTTGCAACCCTAAAAACTATGAAACTATAATTTGCAACCAAATTTAACTGTGCTATCAGTTCATCCCTATGAATTAGCTGCGCCAGTTCTCCACTAAAATTTGCATTCTGTGGCCACATAATTCCTCACAGGTTTTTACCAACAAAATGTGTTAATAGATGTTCAAAATTTATATCAAGTTATCAGAATGCAGGCAAAATAACTACATAACTTCTAATCAATAAGCTTAATTTTAAAGTCCTAATCCATTTAGTGTTTATGTGAGTAGGTTTTGCCTGCAACATATTCACTTTCCTTGAACTGTTTGTAGACTACTGTACTACTGTTGTCTTCCCTCTTCTCTGCCTGTGTGTAATCACTAATGATGTTTTATGCTGTAATTACTCATGTGATGGGTCAACGAAATGTTAATCACTGAAATTATCTATAGTCTTGCCGTACAGGAAAAAAACCAGGTTAACTGAAATTCAAATCAGATTGCTTGAAAGGAGAGCAAGAACAGCAAGAATATAAATTAATTCAATTTTGTAAGTAAGATTTACATTCATTTTTCATCTTTTATAACCTATTTAATAACCTAACACATTTTTAATAGCACACTAAAAATGGGTCAAATTCTTCTCATAACAACATTTGTTTCACTTCTGGGAATAGGGTATTCTTTTAACTGACCTCCGACCTTTGTATGCCATGCACTATTTCTTTAGCATTCTCTAAAGAAAAATCTATCTACAACTTCAGCAAGTGGGCTGCCTACGTTATTGACATAAAGAGGAAAAGGGAACAATACCTTTAATTATGATATATTTGTGGCAGCGTATTCCAGAGCTCTCTCTGCTCAGAATGATTAATGTTCTGACATTTTTGTCTCCCTTTTTTCTGAAATACTCAAGCAGTTATAAGAGAATGTTGAACTTGCTCTCCCTGAACTTCCATAACTTTCTAATCTTAGTATGTGCCAATAGCAACCAAAAAATTCCATGCTAAGCTGATGGAAACAGAAGCAGCACACACAGGAGGTTGAAAGACCTTTTTTCCCCTCTCACTATTCAGCCGCAGTATTTTCAATTTAGTCTAAAATGCTTTGTCTGTATGTGCATGTAAGAAAAAAAGGCTCATTCAATGGTGACAAGATGCTGAAAATGTGATCATGTGCTATAATTTGATGTTAGGGGAGATGGGTTTCCCAATAAACTCTTTTTATCAAGTAATCTCTTAATTATGGAAAACAGTAATTCCCGAGACAGAAGCAGTTTACTTATTTATTTTTTTAATAGGCTTATCTATTTTGTCAAGTCATCAATTTTGTTCAGTGTTATGTTATTATAAAAGCTGCCAGCCATCTACAATCCAATATGCCTCTTTTAATTATGAAGATCTACAAATGACACATCCTGCTGTGACTTCAGAAACATGATATGCAGTGAAATGAAGCAGTTTTGTTAAATGCATTTCACAGCCCTGTTTTTAGTGAAGTGGTCATATTCTGTAAATGTGGTCGGCACAAAGATGGAAGAAACATATTAAGAAGTAGAAAAAAAAAAAGTCTTACCTTTTAACATCTGTTTTCAGCCCTTATTTCCAACAAAAGGTAGGTAAAATCCTAAATTTTGGCCAGCACAAAAACGTCAGAAGCAATGTTATAATAAAAATAAACATATTTTTTAAACTTGTAACATCTGTCTCTACTCCAGTTACACCAATGTAATCACCACTGCCCAGGTGAACTACTTCAGGCATGTAATTTGATTACCATAAACAAGAGCATCAGCATTTGCTCAGACAACTAAAGGGCAGGGGTCTGCAAAATCAATATTGTCAGGTCAAAAAGTATTCTTTTATTAATATGAAGGAATTTGATCAGCAATCCTTAGCAAGTAGCTGTGATGCTGGAAAAGTAAATAGTTATCACTAAGATCAAAATCAAGTGAAAAACAACCTCCCCCTCCCCCCCACAAAAAATAAAAACCCAAACAAACCAGGAGAAGCTGAAAGATTTTCCTAACAAGGACCAGCCGTCTAACCTTAAGGATTGCAGGCAATCTATCAGGTGGTCAAAACCAAGTAGCTGCTGGACAACAAGAGGCAGATAACTACCTAGGTATAGACAATGACAATTTAAATTAATCACCAAAATAGAGAACAAACAGCCTGGGATTGTGATTAAGGCAGGAGAGATGGGAGAACAGATAAAGGTATAGGACAGGGGTAGGCAACCCTCAGCATGGGTGCCAGAGCGGGGTACATGAAGGCATTTTGCTTGGCACGCACACCTTGAGGCAGAAGGCAGGGAGGGGGCTGGGGCTGCACTGCCACAACAAGAATCAGGCCCCTTGCTGCTCCCTCACTGTCCATCCTGGCACACCAACATCTTACAAGCCAAGTTTGCCAGTGTTTTTGGCATATTGTCCAAAAACATTGCAGACCCCTGGTATAGAATGAAGCTTAAGGACTTTATTCAAGTTACTTTGGGACCACTCAGGATTTTTGGCTACATTCACAGTAGTTTATTTATGAAGCATTCAAGTGAATTGGTCAGGAGGCAATTAATATAAACATCAATAAAGAAAGGTAAAGGAACATTATATTTGACTGTAAATCAGCTGATCTACTTTTGTGTGGTCTTCAAGGAACGTGCAAACAAACACATATATGTAGAGAAGACTGGACAGTATTGCTGGGAGTGCATTTTTATTATTTTATCTCTTCAGGCTGACTACATGCAACTATGTTAAAATACAGCATACACGTATACTGGTCAGGAGAATCACTCTGCTTTACATAAATCCAGCAGTTATGCTGAGTAGATTCCTCCAAATTCAAATTAATTTTATCCCATTCTTAAACGTGCATACTCTCCCTCTTTTTTATACGAGGAAGCTGAATATTCAAAACAAATTTGTGTGTGTGTGTATGTGTCCATGTGCACACGTGCGTGCATGCACACACATACACTCACCCCATATATATACACAGACACACATGCACATGGCTCAGGAGTCAGGAATATTTTCCTTATACTAAAAAAAATTTTTTTTTTTTTTTTTGGAAAAGCAGATTTCTGTATTTGGGTATGGATTGCATTTATATTTCTATATTCTTGAGCAAAGGCTGAAATTGATATATGAAGATTTCTAAACAGGAAAAAAGAGAGGTTAAGCCTTTAGACTTATTTCTGTTGATTTTACTTATTACTAGACGAAGAGTATACTATATTATCCCTTAGAGACATAAAACAATAAAACAATCTTCGGTTCTGGATATATATTCATATCTATCAGCGTATGCATAACTACCTTCTTCCCTAAAAGTACAGTAACATATAAAAACTCAATACTGACAAAGAAACTGCTAATAGTCTATATTTACTTGATAAGCCAACATAGAATCATAGAACCGGAAGGGACCTGTAAGATCAAGTCCACCCCCGCTGCCATAGGCAGGAAGTTACTGAGCTCAGACGAGCTCAATGAAGTGCCCGTCCAGCCTCAGTTATTTTGAATATCTCCAAGGATGGTGACTGTACTGCCTCTGCTGGGATTGTGTTCCAGATTCTGGTGACCCTTAGAGAGAATTTTTTTTTCTTATGTCTAGCCTGAATTTACCCTCTATTAGCTTATGCCCATTGGTCCTCATCCTCGTCCTCCCCTCAAGTGCCTTCCTGAAGACTTGCTCCCCTAGATTTTGATGCTCACTGCTGACATACTTGTAAGCGGCTATCAAGTCACCACTCTGTCTTCTCTTATTCAGACTGAACAGGTCCAGTTCCCGGAGTCTCTCCTCATAGGGCCTATCCCCCATGCCTGTGAAAATATGGATGCCCTTCTTTGTACCCTCTCAAGCTTATCCATATCCTTCTTGAAGTGCGGTGCCCATTACTGGATGGAGTACTCCAGCTGAGGCCTCATTAACACGGAATAGAGACTGAGGAGCACCTCCCTGGATCTACTTGCCACACATCGGCTAATGCACACCACAGTTCTATTTGCCCTTCTGGCATCCTCATTGCACTGTTGGTTCATGTTCATCTTCTGGTTAATCGTGACCCCCAGGTCTCGTTCAGATGCTGTGCCAGGCATTGGACCACCACCCATCATGTAGTTATGATGAAGGTTCTTTTTACCCAGAGAAAGGACCTTGCACTTCTCCCTGTTAAACTTCATCTGATTCCGTTTCACCCATGAATCCAGTCTTTCAAGGTCATCCTGGATCTTTACCCTATCCTCTGATATGCCTGCATTTCCCCACAGCTTGGTATCATCCGTGAATTTGATTGTTGAGCTTTCCACCCCCTAGTCCGAATCATTAAAGAGCACAGGTCCAAGCACCGATCCCTGAGGGACACCACTGGAGATGGCCCTCGAGGATGAAGCATTCCCATTGATTAAAACTCTCTGGGAGCAGCCTCTAAGCCAGCTGCCCACCTACCTCACTGTAGACTAGTCCAGCCCAGTACCCTCCGGTTTGCTTGAGAGAATCCTGTCGCAGACAGAATCAAAGGCTTTGCTGAAGTTTAGAAGTCAACCTCATGTCCCTCATCCAGATGGCTAGTTTCCTGGTTCTAGAAGGACACTAGGCTTTGTCAGGCATGATCTACTCTCAACAAAGCCTTTCTGGTTGCTTCTTAACATCCCGTGGGTTACCAGCTTGTAATTGATGGTTTCCTTAACAAAGTTTTCACAGATTTTACCCAGGACTGAAGTCAGGCTGACCAGTTTGTAGTTTGCAGGGTCATCCCTTCTTCCCTTTCTTAAAGACGGGCACCACATTGGCCCTCTTCCAGTCATCCAGGACCACTCCCAAGTTCCACAACTCTTCAAACAACAAACAGCCAGTGGGGCTGCTATAAGCTCAGCCAGTTCCTTCAGGACTCTCCAGTGCAGGTCGTCTGGACTAGCAGACTTGGAAAATGTCTAAGTGTTGTAGGAGATCCCTCACTTGTTCAGGACTGATTACATATAATCTGTTGTCTTCCCGATGTTCCCTGGGCCTCCGGTCAGGTGAATGGCCCCCGTTTGATTTCAGGAATACCAATGTAAAGTATGTATTTAAGAGTTCTGCCTTTCTGCAGGCATCAACTATGGGCTGCCGCTGAGTATTCAGTAGGGGCCCCACAGTGGATCCTGATTATTTCTTGCTCCCTATGTACCTGTAGAAGGACTTTTTGTTGTTTTTTTTATACCAGTTGGCAGCTCAATTTCTATGCCTGCCTTAGCTTTTCATGTTTTGTATTTGCAGGCCGTGGTGATACAGGTGTATTTTTCTCTGGTTGATTAGCCATTCTTCCATTGCTTATATGGTTCCTTTTTCTTTTTCCATAGCTCCCTAATATCCCTGTTGAGCCAAGCAGGTCTCTTGGCTCCTTTCCTGCTTTTTGTCCATGTGGGGATAACATGTTTTTTACCCTTGAGAATTGCCTCCTTAAGGAAGCATCACAGTTGCTGGACTCCCAAATCGTCCAGTTGCTGGTTGTAGAGGGTCTCACCAATTAGCCTCGAGTTTGCCAAAATCTGCCTTCCTGAAGTCTAGGATTTCTGTTCTGCTGACTGGTTTTCCATTCTTATGGTGGCTGGTGAATCTTATCAGGTCGTGATCACTGTCGTCCTGAGTACCACTAATCCTCAGGTCACCTATGACATCCTCCCCTGTGGTCAGCACTAGATCTATAGTGGCCTTACCCCTAGTAGGCCCTTCCACAACCTGTGTCAGAAACAGATTGTCTACTGTTGCCAAGAAGTTGGCTGGCCTGCTGGAGGTGGCCGAGTGGTCCTCCCAACAGATGTCATGGTAGTTGAAATCACCCATGACAATCATGTCTCTAGTGCCTGCTGCTTCAATCAGCTCTCTGGAGAATACCTAATTGCACTCATCTTGGGAGGGAGGCCTGTAGTAGACACCCCCTCAGGTGTTCCTCTCTTGAACCCCCTTGTATCTTGACCCAGAAGTACTCGAGGGACCTCTCCCCTCTATCAAACCTGACCTGCAGGGAGGGGTACCGTTCTTTCACAGAGAGCCACACCTTCTTCCTTCTTCCCAACCCAATCCTTCCTATAAAACCTATAGCCCTCAATATTCACTGCCCAACCATGTGTGCCATCTGTCTGTCAACCCCATCAGACTGAATTCCTCATCCACCAGAAGGAGTGCTAGTTCTTTCTGTTTATTTCCCATGCTTCTGGCATTCCCATAAAGACATCTAAGCTCTCCCCTAGTCGCCTCAGCTTTTCTGTCACGCCACCTGTGTCTCAATATGTCAGTACTTATCTGGACTTTCACTACTTGAACACCTTCCTGTGTGTCATTGTGGCTAGAGGATTTGTGCACAGTAGTGACACCTTCTTCCCAGATGTGCCCAGTGTAAAGCCCTCCTCAACAAGTTGGTGTCTCTTGTAGTGAAGAGCTTTGCCCCTCTGCCTGTGAGATGAATACCTTCTCTTGCATGTAGACTGCTGTAGCTAAACTGTGTGCTAATGTCAACATATCCAAAGCCCAAACATCTCCTAAGCCTTTGGTTGACCTCCTTGATGCACGTCTCCCTCTGACAGCCACATCCTTTGACTAGAAGAATTGAGAAGACCATTTGTGCTTCTAGGTCCTGAGCTTCGCCTCCATGGTCTTGTAGTCTCCCATGATTCTCCCAGGGCTACTTCTTGCTGCATCATTGGTGCCCAAGTGGACAAGGAGCATGGGGTAGTGGTCAGTAGAGCGGACCACTTCAGGGATCCTTGCCATAACATCTCTGATCCTCACTTGTCGAAGGCAGCAGACATCTCAAGCAAAGGGGGCTGAATGACAAATGGCTCCTTCTGTGCCCCGCAGCAAGGGGTCTCCTACAACTATCACCCTACGCTGTTTACTTGCTGGGGTCAGCCGATCCCATATAGATACATTTTCATTGATGGTGTGAGGGCTTCATAGCTATTGTGCAGGGTTACTGGTGAGACAACTGATACACGTGTGGCTTCATTCCTGATGTCACCAATGTCTACCTGCTATCAGTATGGGCATCTTCTTCAGGTGTCCACTTTTCTGTCCACTGGTCTTTGTGGCTTTCTCCTCCAGGTGAAGGGCCTGGCAGTAAGCATCAATCTCTGCCTGCTTGCATGGCTCCCTGGAGGGGATGGGGGTGGAAGTGCCGTGGGGTGGGAGAGGGGACGCTGTGCCCTACTCAGATCGTCCTGGTGGGGAGGGGGGGCGCAAATGTAGGCATTGGCCCCCGGGCACCAGAGACCCACCGTGTGCCACTGTACGTTTTTAACACTAAAACAATTGATTTGCTTTTCCTTGTATAAAAGAGTAAACGCAGAGAACAGATATTTCAAACTGTTAATTTCAAGCATTGTAGATATTTAACAAGGCAGAAAGAACATTGAGATTGTCAAAGAAGCAGCACCAAAAAGGATATGCTCATCTTTTCCACAAACTTATCGTGTGCACCTTCTGTTTTAGGGAACTTCTCAATGTCACTTTTTAGACGCTGGATCTGATGTTCCATCGTATCAAGGCTGCTCTTGAGACACCGTGCTGAAACTAAGATAAATGGGACAACAGATCAGAAAAATGTACCAGATTCTGATTTAAAGGGGAAAAGGTATTAGTATAAGTATTGTTGAGGCAAAGAGAATAATTCCATGAAACGGATTAATTTTTTCTGAATTACTGATCATAAAAATTCTACCCACCATAAAATAAGTGAATGCATATAATGTAATATAATATACCAAATCATCATGTTTAATTTGGGAATGTGACTGTTTTATTCAGTCATTAGTTCAAATGAATCCATTTCTATTTAAATTTATTGATAGAAATTGTAATATTTCATTCTTTTAAATCTAATCTGAAGATTAAGGAGAAACTAAGGTTCAAAGAGATTTTATCTTATGAATACATGTACTTGACTAGTGATTTAAGGAAAAATTACAGAAAAGATATTAAATATTTTCCTTTCATGAAATACACTATTTCTGTAAACCAACACCTGTGAAATTTCTTAGCTCTTAAAATCTACGAAAATACGGATACTGTTGTTACATTAACAGAAACAAGAATACAACATATGGTAAAACAGTTAAAGAATAGGAAAAAAAACCATACACTTCACCATAGTATCTCAGCATGCCTGTTAACACTGTATTCACTGTGGCTTTAATTTAATACCTTTTAAATTCTTTACACTTTCTTTGTTTCCACTTAGAACACTAACTAGCTATCTTAAGTACCATGTTCAAAATACTCTAGCATTCCATACTCATTTTTCACTTCTTCCAGCCAGATAGCTTTAGACCTTTATTTTTGTTTTACTTGCTATAAAATATACGCATGCCTGCCACTATCTAAGATGACAATTTTCTGGGTTTGTTGTCTGACAACTTGACAGCTGTGAGGGAAGGAGGGAGTATTTTGGGGTTGGGGTGGTGTGGTCCTTTGGGATACCAGCCAACCCATTAGCCCTGATCTGGATCTGTAGCTTGGGCATCTGATACCCGTTTCAAGGTAGACAGGGAAGCCTGCAGAGCACACTAGGATACTAAAGAGCTAAAGTTCAAGGGGATAACTTGAAGGGGA